TCTGCATCGCAGGGAAGCGTACGCTCTACCGGATAAACCTAACGGGCATCGAGCCATCAGCGTCGGTCTTTTTATGCTGTTGTGTTCCACGGGTTGACGATGCGCACAGATGCGAATAGCACTTCCACGTTTGTCGAGGTGTACTTAATCAGCTCTGTTTCGCATCCAAACCGTTTCAAATAGAACATAAAAATATTCAAAAAAAATGAAAAGTATATGTACAAATATTTATGAACATTTGAGATGGTAAATCTCAATAACCGTGAATCCTCCGAAAACGAGATCTGTTGAGAAGAGCAGAGGAAGGAAATTAGTTGCGCGATCTCTATCAGTATACTATATACTCAAAGAAATGGGAGGGATAAACGACTATAAGAACCACCTATTTCTCAAATATCCTAAGGTGAAATACAGATATATTACCATAAAAAAATGTGTTTTTGATATCGATAAGCAGATTACCCAGAACCAATACGTCCCTGCATACCAATAAGATTGCGGTTGTTTATCCAAGTATGGATAGAACTGACCCGTTAGATAGGAAGATACTCGTTACAAGGCAGATTTTAGAGGAAGCTCTCCTATGATGAATTCCTTCACTATTCCATTTATATCAATGTCTCAAACGGTGCATAGAGTATTAAATTTAGTTGACACGCTGCCATCTTCATGTAAAGTAAATTTTGTTGTAATTGCATACAACCATGCAACAAACCAATATCGTGCTGGAGGAACGTAGTTATTTCAGATTAGTCCAACCGTAAAACCGCAATAGTATTTTTGATGCGAAAGTATGTGATTACGAAAACGCATGTTGATAGCATTTTCTGCTCAAAACTGCTTCAAAAACTATGTCTAAATGTGAATAACAACTGACCTGAACAAATTCCGACTTTTGACGATGGCTAGCACAAAGCGATTCAATCATCGTCATCATCATCATCACTAAGACGTTGAGTTCGTCGTTTGGCCGGTGGCTCCGTACCACCAGCCGCATCCATCAGCGGCTCAAAAGAATACGACCGTTTGGCTGAAAAATACATACCTCCATCCCCAATCTCATCTGCATGTAACAGAGCGTCGGCCATCGGGCGACCCATATCATCCCGGGAGATAAAACCTGGCAACTGTCGACGTTGGGCGTACAAATCGGCATCCGCTTCATCTACCTCTTCATAATCCTCTTCCTCCTCTTCAAATTCGTCCATCTCATCAATAAAGTCATCCCCAGCAACATCATCTTCTTCGTCTAAAAGATCTGCGTCGCGATCAATACTGCCCGCGAAAGGCGCTCGTCTTCTTCGACGCCTACCTCGTCGCGTTCGTCCTTCTACTTCCGAGCCAGATAGGTGATCTGTGCGGCTTTGATCGGTTGCTTGTCCCGACGGGTCTCCACCGGCTGCATTGTGCTCAGACAACTTGAGTACCGAACGACCCTCTTTCACGCGGACTAGCAACACACCTTCAGGTAGAGGAAGACATGTCGGCCGACGATTACCATAAAGAATATGATACAAATCAGCAACAGCGGAACGAAGCCGAGAGTCACCAGCACATCCATAATTCATCAAAGTCCACAATCGTTCGACTAGCTGTGGTGTGTCTAAACGGCTTCCAGTTTCTCCTCGCTGGAACGGGGGCATGCGAATGAGCAATTGCACTGCTTCAAACCGTAGTCGCGGATAGGAAGCCTCGGTTACTTCGTCTCGTTCGATCACTTCATCAAAAATCCAGTCCAATGCCCATTGGTCCCGTTCACCTCGAATATAATCAACCAGTGCCTCAAGACCAGCAACACGCAAATCATGAAACAATCCGGGCGAGGCGTAATGATAGAATAGAGCGGGATCCACAGGCAGAAAACCTAGACGCTGCAAACGGCGTACCGCGGCAAGACAAGCCACAGTTACCGTGCCACGATAACTCATGATTTGTGAATCTAAATTAAAATGATGCGCCACTTCCTCAACTACAGTACGAGCTTCAACGGGCAGAGATGATGCGGACATAACCCCACGGACAACAATGGCTGGAGTCAACGTGTCTTTTAATGTTTTGATCAAATCCGCACGATAGTAGCAATCAGAATAGGCATTACGGGAATTGTCGTTTTGGCGCAACAGATCCGTGACAAAGGACAACACTTCACGAGGGCACACCTGTTGAACACGTAATGTGGCCAACGAACGAATCATGGTACGCATAAGGAAATAGTGTTGAAGATTTTGAAAATTATTCTGGCGAATCAAACCACGCGCAGCGGGAGAACTAAACAATTGCCAAAATATGGGAAACAAGCACGATGTGGCGGCGTTCGTGTTCGAACTGGTTCCCAACGGAGCATTGGTACCCGAGGCTCCTCCGACAGCACTCATTTCGTTTGCGATGTGACACAAAGCGTAACAAGCATCCATTCGCACACGATAGAACACCCGATCATTTGCAATAAGACTAGCTAGAGCGTGGCGTGTCTCAGCTGAGGGACAATCCCGCAGAGCCTGCACCGCTTCCATCTGACCGAGACAATCACGATCATGAGCAAGCATCAAATGCCACATAAAATCTGGTTGATCGACGCGAATCGTGCGGATTACCGCCAAATCAGGATCAAGACGTAACCAGAGCAACGGGGATTCTGCATCGATACGACCCAAATCCATGTCCACCTCGTCCCCGTTGGCCAAGGGGATCTTCTTCTTACGGTGTTTACGACTTTTCGAGTGACACGGTAGATCCCTCGAAGTACGACCCTCTTCTAGTTTGAAAGTATGCATAAATGCCCCATCCAGTTCCTGTAGCATCACCGTCAACGGACCGGTATAGTTTAGAGTACCGCGCGAATGAAGATCCTGGAAACGAAGAAAATCTAATTCAAAGCCTCCAATCTCTATATAGGCTAATGAAAAGTAGACCAAATGACTACTGTTAAAATGATTAACCCGTAAAGCATCGATACTGCGGTAAGCTCTTTTGACAAAACTGAGGAAAATGTGGTAACAGTGAACAAAGTATAAAAACCCAACTGCAAATGAGAAAAACTTGAATAACGAAGCATATTAAGAAAGAAAATCATGTAATCTAGTATTTTAGTTTTTTGCTCGAACGTCTAAAGCGACTTGAAAAACTTATTCGTCTGGTTATTCTTATCTTTCGAGGTTGATGGCACTTGCTAACACTACTAATCCTGACGAACTCTACGAGCTGCTGAAATCCATCCGATTTTTGTACAACACTTTGTGAAAATACATCTCTCTTGTTTATCGACCATTCATTCACTCTGATAATTTGCATTCTGTCCGATTTCGAATATTAAATCCTTCTTAAATGGATGTTTTCGTCGCTTCACCGCCGTCTTGACCACAAATACTCAGAGTGCATTCAGTTACGCTTAATATCGACACTACTCACGAGTAGCATCGAAGTGGAGAAGAAAAACGCCAAGCTAGGAAGCTTTACGGATGCGGATCGGTAACAATACCAACATTGAGTTCTTTTCATACACTCTGGTGGGAAATAGCTAATGAAAGACATAACGCTGGAGACACGTAACACAAACCCTGATTAGCGCAAAGTGATCAGCATGGAGTTCCTCAAGCAGTTAATGTCAGTTGTCACCAACGCCCTTTAAGGCCATCATCCGAGATTCGAACTGCTTACCAGCGTCACCCAACTTTGACGGAGCCCCTCTATGGTCCGGCTAGATACCCAATCTGGTTTATTGGGAGCTTACACAGTTTCCCACTCAAAGCTCCAGGTATTAAGTTTCTGGTCTCCGTAACCGAAGAGTGGGTCATTGCGACTGAGCGGTTCGCCCCTTGCACCGTTTATCACAGCAAAGTGCGTAACAAAAATAATCGCCGGGACCGATGCAGAGTTGGAACAATCTGGCGCTCTGGAACCGATGTGAGCACTGCGAGTCCGGCTGCTCAAACTAATTCCTGAAAACTTAAAAACACAGTGCTGTCTAAACACCGACAATTCTCATTAGCCAGTTAATACTGTATCTTTCTATAAATCTTTATTGAGCGTGGTGACAAAATATTTGGCATATTCCACAAGAGTGGATATCGCAGTGACGACAGAAATGTCTGACGCTGGAGAATGTCAAATACGTAACCTATACAGGTGGCTACAGCCTCGTAAAACAAAAACGTCTAGAAGGGATATCAATACTGAAGTAAATTGCGAAAGGTTCAGTTGTTAAAATGATTGCCAATAAGAAAGAATCGTGATTGTCGTGTTTTATATGCCACAGGACTGACTTCCTCGGTGTGTGAGAGATAACGAAAAGGAGTGCAATTTAGTGAGATAGGTGGTACTATTTGTGGCATTCGTAGAAGAAATACGAATGCGTTCATCTGCACACTTGATAATTAAATTTCTTAATCGATTTGTTTCTAAATGAAGCGTCGAAGGTTATCCACAGAAAAAACGGTACTTGGGCGCGGTTTTATCTATCGTACAAAATAACAATGCTGAGTCCAGCACAAAGGCCCAGAATACATTCAGGCGTGTATGCACTTACCTGTTTTAATTCCAACTCGACCACATTGCGTTTTCGATTAAAATGAAACTTGGCTGACAGTCGCACATGACCAGAGTGATGAACCCACTGATCCAGAAAATTTTGTATGTCTTGCCCAGTTACCATGGAGATGATGCGACGAAAAGAGGTGGTGGATAAAATCAAATTCGCCTGATGTTCATCAGAAAGACAGGGTGGTACAACCAGAGAAGTGGGTCGCCCATTAGATGATACCGATAGCCGATGATCCGCGTTTATCAGCTCATCCGCACAATCTGAAGTTCCAGTTGACCTTCCCGGTGCACTTTTATCTTCGTTATCAGCTGTTCCCGGAGAGACAGATTGATCAGACGGTAAGATAGAGGAAGCCGACAGGCGAGCCAACACTAGCAATTTGTTCAGTACTTGCAATAACACCGGTTGGCCAAAACGCAACTCCAACATGCGTATGACGAGATGTGCTTTCTTGATATATGCAGTCAGATAGTTGGGTGAGATGGTCTGTGGTAGAAAGCGATTAAAAAGATCATCAAATCAGTCGCTCGTCGTCTATTACTAATAAGATAATTGAACTGAGGAGAAATAGACCAGAAACCGTCGAGGCAGACAACAATGAACACTTGAGTAAGAAAAGAACCAGTGATTATTTAGCACAAAATAAAAGTTAACTTTGGGTAAAACAGACTAATCTGAATCTGGGCTAACTCAAAATTTTGTTCGGCTTTGCTTAAGTAGTGCGACACCAAATGACTGAAAATTCATTCAGTACCTAATGCAAAAGTGCTACACCGCATGGGATAATGTTAAAACCATCTATGCCGGGCATGGAAAAAGGGAATAGGTTTGTGATTTTTCTTAGTTAATCGAGAACGAAAAACAATTAGAGTAATTCAATGGTATACTTTTTGATGAGATAGCGGTGGAGTCGAACTCCTCCCAGGGAACAGCGTCCTTGACTTATAACATGCCGATGACATCACCTTGCTGGGTGACAATAGACATGCAGTCTAAAACGCTCCGAACCGCTTGGCGACCGACGTATCCAGATATGGTATGTGCTTTGCGCCTTCCAAGTCTGCCAGGAGCCTGTGCCTGCACTCACTCTCTTTGGCGATTAGATGGAAGTAGTTGAGAGCTTTAAGTACCTCGGGAGCTTGATAGCAGCTGGTGTTAGAGAGGAGATCACG